CTCTCTTCCCTCTGTTCGATACTGCTGATTATCCTCCAGGAAGCTCTCCGAGCTCCAATCACATTCTTGTAGGCCACTGATAGTAGGTTCCTCTCCTCCACTGTGAGCTCTACGTCCATGCCTGCCACGTCCTTCATTGACACCACCATCTCTGTTGAGGAGACAAATGTAACACTCCTTTAAGAACTCATCAACCTTGTACCTAGGGAGCACACCCAACAACTAGCTGTCTATCCTTCATCGTGTTGTCTTGCTAAATGACAGCTTGAATCAAAAGGTGAGACATCTGATGTCTGACTTCTTCAAACTACAGCATCAATTCCATTATTATGCTGTGACTTAACACCTCCAAGTGGCAAACAGAGATTCAGATGTATTTGAGGAAGCAACAATAGCAGTGGTGTAATGGTATACCTCGGTTTTGAGATTGTGGTTTGATATTTTCAGTACAGCAGGGAAAACATAAACAAGGTTGAAAATAATTTTTTTTCGTCATTTATTTTGAAAAATTGAATCATTTAACAGTAACTCAGTAGTTCTGTTCAATTACTGCACTCAAACACTGGCATATTGTCAAAAACAAATAACACAAATGTAAGTAATGCTCCATCAGACTGACCTGTTGATAATTCCTGAACTACAGCTTGCACTCATTTATACAGGGCAGCACAACAAACTGCTTAAAATCCACAAATAAAGACAAATTGTAGCTGTGCTAAAGCAGCATATGCTTAAATCCTGTATTTTAGTATGGTTGCATATCTGCAACGCTAAACACTCTACAGCATTAGTAATTACATCGGCATAATCCACATCTGCAGTGTGAGGGTACCAGTTTGTGACATGACAATGACATGTTCAACATAAACAGGCTATTTATTTTGACAGTAATGGTTGGGTCACAGGACGAACAGAACCTAGGCCGTCGCATACCGAACTGAATGACCTGTACCAAACTGTTTGGGACAAATACACTTACTGTTACATCCCTAACCAATAGTATTGCATTTCCACATACATTCATTTGACAATGTGTATTACATATCTGACAAAATCGGCAAAAACATACAAGATATGTTTAGGGAGGAGTGTTAAAGGACCAGTGTGTAGGATTTAGTGGCCTCAATCTGTGTACTTGCAGATGGCAACTTCCTTCTCGCGCTGATCCTCCCTTTCCACGAAGAAGAAACTACGGTGGCCCTGAAAAACGCAAATAGCCCAATCTAGAGCCAGTGTTTGGTTGGCCCCCTCTGGGCTACTGTAGAAACATGGCGCTTCAACATGGCCTCCATTTCAGATCGACAGCGTCTGAAATAAAAAGGCTCATTCTAGGGTAAACCTCAACTCAACATGTTGAGGTGGCTTCCTTAACAGCACCAACCTCAACCTATCCCCTGTCACCAATTAGGCAAACACACACAAAGGCCCTTCAAACAACTCACTGATTAATCGAGAAAATGATTGACAGAATACAGCACTTGAAATTCAGGGATCTGAGACACAAAGATACACAGTGTTGGATAATTCTGGGACGGTGGGGAAACTCATCATTACAAATGAAATGATTAAATTAACATTATGGAATACAGGCTATATCATTTTCATTACTGTTTAGAAATGTGAGGTCAGGGGCGTTTTTGCAGTTAACATAATTTCTCCTTTGCGCTTGGAAGGCGGAGTAGCAATCTGCAACTACACTGCTAGATGCCACTAAATCTGGTCACACACTGGTCCTTTAACTATTACACAGAATGGAAAAAGAGCATCCATTTGACAATGGTTGTTAGGTCTGGGACAGCTGAAAGTAGAATTTGGGGCAGTTCGGGGACACTGAAAGGAAAACACTAAATGTCAAGCCCTGACTGACTAATCGACATCGGAAATAATCATTAGTTGTAGTCCAAGTACGTTATATGTATTGGCCAAATGCCCGTCCAAGAAGTTTCCTCTGCACAAAACCCAATTAGCGACTTCCCTGATATACAATATACAATCTCTCAGGTTCAAGTATTGTTGAATTGCATACCATCCCTGTCAGGGTATTAACCTTTTTAAATAGCACTAACCTTGTGGTTTAGATGGTGAAAACGTGCAGGCTGGATTCTCTATGAGAGTAAATTAAGGATTATCTACATATGCCCACTGTAATCTGTGAAGCGTTCAACTACATGTCAACATGTTATAACCTCTTGTTGAATAGCTATATGAATTCGTCTACATTCCTGCAAGGTAACCACTTAGCCAGTAAACCATAAATCACTCTGTAAATACACTCGGTCCAAATCCCATGAATGAGTCATGGCACATTCACTTAACGTTACTGGGCAACGTACGACCGGTGGCAACGGCAGCCGTCTAAAAACAGCCTGTACAAGGCCTGTAATGGTATGACAGTGACAGGACTCTAGCAGGGAGAGGAAGAGGGAGTCATTTTCACCAATCGATCCGTACTGCCTGCTTGCAGGGGAACACCCCACTCACCGAACAGCTGCCCTCCCTCTCCCTGCTAACACAAGCTTCAAGTCGCTAACCTTGCAATTCCGCTCGGTAACGCCTCGCTAATGTTACCGTCGGTTAGCATCGGTAGCATAAAAACAACCTCGGTGCGTTATTATGGTTACAAGACAGTAACATGACACTGGGTGTTGCTTATAGGAGCTAACCGCACCAGTAGCTCAAGTGTTAAGCTGTAGAGCTAGCATGGTGCAGGGGAGGTAACTCCTGACAGCTCACGCTCCAGTAATCCGCCATTTTGTTGTAGCCCCTTTGCTAACGTTAGCCACTGTCACTCACATCCGCACAATTTTCCTAAAACAAAGTCACTTCCTGGCATTGGCTCGTATTTTAATGTCGCATTGGTTTCCTCCAGCGAGGAGCCATCTACCATGTCAATGAATAGTTAGCTGAAAGGTGGCGGTCGTAGCCACTTTAGCTTGTTAGCCGCGGCTAACACTGAGCTAGCGCCGCCTGTGTTAGTGAAGCACTGCTCCGTTAACGTGAGCTAGCAGACGCTAGCTCGGAGAGAAAAAAAATCCCTGCGGCGAACATGTCCCACTCCCAACGAGCCCTGGAGAGTGGCTTACCGTCATATCGCTCTGCCTGCTCGGCAAGTTTTGCCTGATAAACTAGGTCCTCTCGCTCTCCCATTGTGTATCGAGATGAAGGTAGAGTAGGGAACTATTCAAAGTGACAGTTGTTCAGTGAAAAACACGGCGGTGTGTCGGGTCTGTCGGCGGTTCCTAGAAATCAACTGGGTCGATGAGTGGTGTTCCGCCCCACGGAGACGGTTCTGATTGCAGCCGCGGCGGGGCGTTCCTGTGGAGTCCTCAGCTGTGATTGGTTCTTAGGGGACAGGAACGCCCACTTTTCTTCTTCTCTACTTTGTATTCTTTTGGCCAATTTGTTGGCCCTCTAGTGGCCATTGTACACTGAAACAACCTTCTTTTTCTGTAAACATAAATCTAATTGAGATCATATTTTTTGATTTTCTTTTGATTTTCGTATTGAAATCTTAAAAAAAACGATCATTTTCACACCCATTTTGGGTTACATTAGAAGTGAATGAGAAATATCGGTCGCTTTTTAATACAAAATAAACAGATAAACCCAATAATTATGTCCATTTACACCGTACAGTAACTATGTTTACGTTACAAGACATACGTTGATTTGACATTCATTATGCACAGAGACACACGCTGGATGGCGACCAGCCTCATCCCTGTGCTGCAGACAAATGTTCTTTCCCAGGGAGGCAGAGTAGGGCGGGTCATGACTTCGCCATCCTGGAAGAAAAAAAAAAATCCTACTGCACATACACACGAATTGCCAGCTCTGACACGCCCCCTGTAATTTTTATTTTTGTAAAGAGAGAACAGCAAGGATGATCTCTGTAAGCTTGTTAAGAGTAACTACCACTAAGTACACGAGTTTGTAAATTACATGTAAATTATAGTTTGATATATTCAAAAATATCTGAATACATCAAATAATCTATAAAATGTTTCAGGGGTGGGTATCTAAATTCCTGGTCCAGTATGCAACTTGTACTGCGTGATGTAGAAAGTGGAAGCCACCAGTGCACATCCACTGAGAATGGACTTTACAGTGAAGGAGGAGACATCTTGTGTCCAGCAGGAAAACTTTAGAAATCAACAACATTTGCATATTCAGACATTCTGGAGGTTTTAATGAGGTAGAAAGATTTTAATATGGAAGTTATACTTTTTTTTTTTTTTGGCAGAAAAAACATATCAGACACACATTGTTCCAAGCAGACTATTTGTAATTGTCTTAATACATGTCTGGAGGGGATCTTTAATTTTGAACTTGCTCCCATGAAAGAAAACTAATTGCTGATAACAGAACAGCGAAGCCAAGCAGATTGAAAAGACAGATGTTAAATTAATGTTTTCACTGCCAATTAGTGGCCTAATACCCTCTAATTAGCAGTGAAACAAGCAAAAGCCAAGTAATTTCAGTATCATTTACCTGTCATTCTAAATTAATTATAATTCCTGTAATGTCCTTTTTCGTGCTTCTCAATATGTGAAACAGCGCTGCTGGAAAAATATGCTGAAATACATTTTCACTGCCAATAGCAATAGAACAGATCTCACAGCAGTGTTCTTGCTAGCTGCATGCTATGTGTAAGGGAGTCCACATCTGCTGAAGCAAGCTTATGCACATACTGTTAAAGTTTGTCTGGATACATTCCCACTGTATACTGACACTACAGATACCCAAGTTCATACAGTGTTACTAATAATACCTCATGGTAGAATGAATGGCAATCATTTCTGTAGCTAGGCAACTGCCATGTGCAGCGTGAATGAAAAGGGGGTTTTGGTTATGAATTGTACAGTTAAAACAGCCAACATTAAATATGTTATAAATATATGTTTTGGACATTCTTTGGAGGTAATTATGAAAAGCTTTCCTGAGTCATGAGACAATCATAGCTTTAACAAACACACACAAAAGGTAATACATTAAACAAATCATTTGTCATGGGTTTGACTTTATTTACTAGTATATTAACACATTACATGCTACAGAAAATAAAAAGGTAATTTCAATTGTCTTGAAAGAATATAGTGTTATAATAAAATGGCACATTTTGATATTAACACAATTTCCACTGGCATTTTGCCACCCCTTCCTTTTTATGAAAGGAAACGAATGACTTCATGCAGGGCTACTAAAAAAATACTTCTTGGTGGTTTCATTGGTAACACAATTTGTCAGATAATGATTTATGTAGCTAGGCACCTGCCACGTGCAGTGTTGAATGATGAAGAAGCTTGATTTGATCATAACTACACAGATAAAAATGGACTGTGTCAAAAGCTGGCAGTAAACACAAATGTTACTTTCCTAGACCAGATTGTTCCAAGAAGTCAACCAAATATTTTGAACAGTAAATATCTTAATGTGGGTTTGGAAAATGGCCAACTTGAAAATGAAATGTGAAAGCAGGACAGAGCTTCTCAGGCAAAGCTACAACGTCATGAAGACTAATGTGTGGGAGCAATCAAGGATAATTAAAAACCCTAAAAAATGAGAACATACATCTCTTCACACTCAGTGTAAAAGCAGTAAGTGCATTCTGTTAAAAATAAAAATAAATCAAATTTCATCTCCTTTAATCTCACAAGAACTGGCAGAATAGGCTTTCCAGAAGGACCCCATCTCTCTGAAAGCTGTTACAGTGCCACCTAAAGGTGACATGGTGTGCTGGCCTGAAATACTGTACCATGACATCTGAGAGGAATCCCTCGCTCGGAAGAGACAGCGAGTTCTCGCGGCTCAAATTCAAAGGGGCCCGGGTTCACTCTGGCAAAGCTCTCAATGACACACCCAGCCTGCTTCAATCCAAACCAGTCTGCGTTCTGATACACGAGGGTGATGATTGTCAGGTGTCAACAAATAGATTGATTCAATCTCAACAGAAAACAACGTCTTGGGGGGGGAAAAGGGAATGTGGACTACAACATCATTTGCAGTTCTATTTGCCTGATCTCTTGGCAATACAGACATGGCAGAGGGTAGAGATAAAACAGCAACATTAAAAGTCCACGTTGGCTTGGGCATCATAAATGGACAAGGCTTTAAATAAAAGAGTGGCAGAGGATTAAGTGAGGAAGCACAAATGAAACACAGGCTGATAAGGCAGAGGATTAAAAAAAAAAACGGTGCAAGGTGGCAACAAGATTATTAAAAGGTTAAAGACAAAGGGCAGGTACCAAAATAATACCACTTTTCTTGGGACACATTTGACACAGAGCTAAGGTATACTGAGTGAGCTGAACGCAGAGCACTAATGCGAGGAGACGGTACAAACTAACATAGTGGACAGCCTACATTCACTCCGTTCAACTTCATTCATGTACATCAGACGCAGAATAAGAACACATGTGGCCTTGTGAGGGGCTGGGGGCAAAAATATGTAGCGCCCCCCACCCCCTCCATCGAGTCAGTCAATCCATTTTGCACCAGTGACCCATCGCTCCCTCCCAACATGCAGCAGTAAAAAGTGTACATCGAAACCTCCAGGACAAAATCAGCTATGAAGAAAACTACAAAGATAACAACAAAAAAAGAAAACAATATTTTAGCATGTAATGATAATCACATAGTACATCATTTCATAACAATATGTTCTTTTTTTTTTCTTCTTACAAAAGACTACTTGGTGGTACTTGGTCGTAGTAGGTGGGTGGAAGGGGCTGAGGTGAGCCAAGGTGGGAGGTGTGGAGAGGTTGAATGTAGTGTTGCCTTCATCTTCACCTCAACAATAGTCTTGAAGTTTCTCAGGTTCACTGCTGGGGCCTGCTCTACGTCTATAACTACACAAAGTCGCTCCTAGCTGCTGGTCTCGACTCACTTTTGTTTTATCCATTTGATATTTGGTGTGTGTGTGTGTGTGTGTGTGTGTGTGTGTGTGTGTGTGTGTGTGTGTGTGTGTGTGTGTGTGTGTGTGTGTGTGTGTGTGTGTGTTGGGGGTAGGGAGCTGGACTGGTCCTTGGTCTGCTCCTTGAGGGGAACTGTACACCTCCAGTTCACTAAGCTGTTTCAGCTGTACTTGAGCCTCGCTGCTCTCATCACCCTCCGTCTCTCTCAGCATCTCTACATTATGCTGCATTCATGTCCAATAATAACAATGGGCAGATGCATAATTTTAAACTCGAAAATGCCTTAAACCACAACTTTAAGTGGAAGAATATTGTTCAGTTCAGGTTTAAAGATGTATATGTTAGGTGTTGTAAATTCCTATAAATCCCCTTCAACAATATTTTAGAATTAAATATTAGTCAGGACTTCTTTGTCCCATCACAGGCAAGAAGATCGCAGTTTGCATAAATGAAGGGCAAAGAAAGAAAGAAAGAAAGAAAAAATGCTGCCATGGCAGGTTTGAGGGAACGACCGTATCATCTGTGTGGCTGATATTGCAACTTTGATTTTCCAAGTTCATCACTCACTGCGTGCATGCACTGGAGGTGTGAGACAAACGGATCAGGATGAAAAGAATATTAGGGAAATGTGCTTATTTGCAGGCTAATGAGAGGACAGATGCAATTTTCATGTTTGTACTGTAAATATGAAGCTACTGCCAGCAGGCGATAGCTTAGCATGAAGGCTGGAAGCAGGGGACACAGCTATCCTGTCCCTCTCCAAATGTAACTTTAGCTGCATACCTGCAAAGAGTTACAGCAAGCAATTTCTTGGCTGGGCGCAGTAACTTCCTGTAGTACCTACTGGTTGCCTGGCAGCTGGTCCTGGCCAAGAAATAGTTTTAAACTTTGGTTTTTATACCGATTTGAACAAATGACAATGTTTTAATTAGTGAGCTTTAAAGGAACTAGTAGGTGGATTTTGTTCGCTTTGGACCACCTGCTTCAATCTTTACATTAAGCTAAGCTAAATGGCTACTGGCAGTAGCTTCACATTTACAGTACTGACACATGAGAAGTATCAATCTCCTCCTATAACTCTTGGCAAGCATAATTGGTAAGCACATTTCCAAAAATATCAAAACAAATAATCCCAAATTGGCAGCTATACACAAGACAACACACATGAAGCCTGTGTCATTACTCTTCCACTTAATACTGTATCCCCATCTGACATGAATGCAGCATGAGTACAGCACTGTAACCATGGCGACGGATGAGGGCGAGGATGAAAAATGACACGACGCTGAGCAGTTATCTACTGGCTCCGACACAGGAAGAGGAAGTGGTTGAAGTCTGCGGCGGAGAGTCTCCTGAGGAGGGAGTGTTGATAACGTATCCACGGCAGGGACGAGGCGATGGGAGGATCTGAAGGGTGTTGCCACATCCATGGAACAGGAGATTCATTTTACAGTGCCATTGTAGAGTGTATGACCCATTTTGATGTCAGTTAGTCAGTCAAATGGAGAAAGGGTGGGAATGATTATTCAGAGGGGTAGACATGGGGTGACGAGGATCCGACGAGGGCGTGTTTGTTTTGTTCTCAGTGATTCTCTGAAACTGTACTTGGTGCGGGTAAAAGCTGGAGCAGACGTGAGGGAGGGGGAGCGGCTTGAGTGAGTGTGTGGAACGGGAAGGAAGGGGAGGGGGGGGGGGGTGAGGAAGGCTCTAATACTAGTGTCCAGGTTGCGGCCCGGCTGTCCGCTCTCAGCTGAGTTCTTCCTCGGCGTTGTGCTGGTCCAGCAGTTTGACGTGCGTGAAGGGAAAGTGGCCACGTTTGCCTTTACATTCGCCCTCCCACTGGCCGTTCACGTTTATTTTGGTCACCTTCACCATGTCGCCCACCTGAAGGGAGGGGAGAGAGGAAAAGACGTGAGAGGGTTCAGCGGCAAGGAGTCGCTCTGTGACAGACGAATCATTATAAACAATAAAAACACAGATAAACCATGATCCCCTCAAATCCACGGTTGCAACATTTTTGATGATTTATTTATTGTCTCAGTCATCTATCAAGCAATAATGCAAAATACCCACTGACTCCACTTCCCCAGATGTGAGGATTTGTTGCTTTTGTCTGTTTAAATCACAGGAAATGTGTCGGTCAGAGTGCCCAAGCAACTTGAAGATGGGACACTGGGGTCTGGGAACTAGTACTACCCATTTTCTGACATTTTATAGACTGAAAAATGGTAATTAGAATAAAAAAAACAACATAAATTGCAGCCCTACTGTCGGGTGGAAGAATGTAAGATTAGTTCAGGTGGACGGGGAGAGGAGTGGCTGTTCCTGTGTCACTGAACCTGAGCAAACAAGGACCAACAGACAGTTCCAAAGTTCAAGTCAATGTGGGCGACAACTGAACAGTCAGGGGTTAAAACAGTGCTGGCTCATAGTATCAGTCTGATAACCTGCTACGACAATCTCCCCTGTGTTAAATGTGTAACTGGCAGCCTTTGCATGACCACAGTGATCTCAATGAAGGCTTTTTCTGTTACTCATGCAAGACCTTTAATAATTAATATTCTTTTTGCCACCTAATGCAGCTGCACAGTGCACACTTAAAATAACAGCAGTGAAGCAATTTCAGTACGTTCAACAGATAAACGGCTCTGCATCTCCTACAGTGGTTTCCTAGTATTTAGGAGAGTAGTGTCCTAAATTGTTTGGAATCATATCTAGGGCTGCAATCAACAGTTATTTTCATTGTTGGACTAATCGGCACAGTCTCTTCGGATAATCATTTGTTCTAAAAAAGGCCAGAAAATGCAACGTCTTCAAATTGCTGGTTTTGTTCCACCACTGGATTATATTTGTTTGCAAAGAACAGGATCTTTTGGAGAACAATTGGACATTTTGTTGCAGGATGAACGTGTTAAAACAGTAGCTTAACCTTCAAATTAGTTTGGGTTATCCATTACTAATTTAGTTTTTATTATATTGTGTTTCAAAAAATGAGGGACTGAAAGGAGAAAGATTTGATACTCTGGATTTAAACTTTGAATCTCAACCAGTTTAAGCCATTGAGGGGTTAAGATGGTTGTAATATTGTATATTTTGCATTTATATTTCTGCACTACATACGGTTTTCTTAAAAATACTGTTTTGTTATTTAGTATGTATGTGATCCATAAGTAACAGGACTGATCAATGGACTGTATATAGAGAAACCCGAAGAATGCCTGAACCCTTTGGTGAGATGAATGGTGCTGCATTCACATGGAGTCAGACAGACGGCAGACGGACAGCACTGTCCTCACAGCACGGGAAAAACAAACAAACCGTCAGAGAGAATGGCAGGACGGCAAAACGAAACACGCATGACAATGTGTTGTTATGGTGATGTTGTATTGTTGACTGGAATAAATATATTAAATAAAATTATTTAGTGAATATTATTTTATGTAATTTATTAATTAGCATGTATGTGTGGGTTATGTAAGGGAGCTACGTAACAGCCGAACATACGCAACGCCTCACCTTTAGTTTACCGCCTGCTCTCATCAACCAACATGACAACCGGTTTGCCGTCTACAGTTCGCCTGATTCCACGTGAATGCAGCATAAAGAATGGTGTGAGTTTTTGTGCAAAGTTTTTTATTTGTGTGTCCGACCAAGTCTCAAACCGATACATATATAGTCTGCCATCACATAAGACAAAGAGCACCAAATCTTCACATGTGAGAGCCTCAACCAGGGAAGGCTTGGCATTTCTGCTTGAAAAACGACTAAAAATAGGACAGTGTTAACTCAAAGTGACTAAGAGTGCTTGTTTGTATGTTTTGTGGGTCACTCCTTCACAGCGCTGTTGTGTTTCAATGTTTTAACAGCGCAAAATGGGGTGTTTTCTCACAAAAGGTGTACCTGGAGTGCAATGACCTCAGGGATAGTAATGGATAAGGCTTTATACTGCAGGCAGCAGTCCCTGTCGGCCCTCAGGATCCTACAGGACATCACAAGGCTTTACATTTAGGAGTCTCTACATAGGGGTACTGAGATGTCTGCATAGTAAAAAAGCATGCAGCCCTTATCATTATATAACAAGCCATTTGACTCATACTGGTCACAGCAGTATGTTGATGCAGGAGATCACTGAATGGTGTAAGGTTACTTTTGGCTCCCTATATACAGTGTATGGGTGAGGAGACAAAACACCACAAACACCAGTATGAGGCAGTTCAACAGAGCACCACCAGAAGCTGTGGTCTCCTCACACAGTAAAATAACACCTGTTTAACTCCGCTTCTATAACAACTGAACAGCACAGAGGCAGTCTTTATGCTTGAAATTAAACAATTAATTGATTAGTTGATAAATAATAAATGAATCTGCAACTATTTCGGTAACTGATTAATCGTTTAAGCCAATGTTGAGAATAAAGGCCAAACACAACCTAGTTCCAGCTTCTTAAACACGAGGATTTGCTGCTTTGTTCCTGAGCTATTGAAGTGGATTGAGCACAGGTATTTATGTTATTATGGAGGAAGAAGGAAGCGCTGCATGGCTCTGACGGCTTATCCAACATGTGCTTCCTTAGTGAGGCAGGTGAAGGTATACAAAAAAAATTTAAATCCAGGAAACCGTGGAAAAAAAGTAAGGCACTGCGTCTTCAGGTGAGACAATACAATAGCTGTGTTCTTCGAGTGCCTTCGTTTTTTCCAAAGTAAGCACGTTAAGTAGGATTTCCTGGATTTCTGTTTTTAGCATTAACGTTAGAATGTCCAGTACGTTTATCTTTATCAACGACACGCATGGATCTTCACAAAGACTGGAATTAGACTTTAAGTACAACTGCCACAACTTTATGATGCTGTGTTTTATATGTTGAAGAATTTAGAAAACTAACAACTAACTAGAGCAATAACAAAAGCAATAATACAATTAACCACATGAAACTTGGATCCAGTGTTATGGAGCTGAAAGTGTTATTAAGACAGCTAGAATAGAATTACATATAAATTCAATATAACTTAACGCACATTTTAGCAGGGCTTCTACAGTTTTCAACTAGTTAAATGTAACACATTTTTAAGCCCATTATGTATGCAACTGAACCTATTTATATTCCACATGTAAAGGACAATCCGTATTACAACATGATTAATAACTTTTTTCCACAAAAAACATTTAAAGTGAGACTGAAAAAGGCAACTTTATACTTTAAGTTACTTTAATTCCACTTATCCAAGACCTGTCAAAATTATATTTAAGACAATTTAGAAGGCCTATAATTCATATGATTGGATTTTAGACTTTTTAAGACCCTGTTGGCAACCTGTTTTACGTTAGTTTCATTTACTAAAGATAAAGGGCGATCTCCACAATCAGCGGGGTTTCTGAAGACAACGAGACAAGGAGATGGGAGCTAATTATTAACTTTAAAGTGCCACCTTGCTGATATCACTTCTGGCCAACTCGAGTGGAGAAAACCTCTACCTCTACCTACCACAGGCGGGAGTGGCAGAAACCAAGTCATACAAAGGATCTACCCGTCATACAACTGAGCAAACTTAAAGCAAAGTTTTTTCCAGTTGACAAATGAGCTGGAGAAAGACAAACCAACCAACCAGCAGCAGCAGACGACTCGCTGCTTTCACTCCACAAAAAGCAAAAGAGGGGTGCAGATCTGAGGAGTCAGAGGATGGATCTGTGTTGGTATCTTTAGTTTTACAGTAGAGACAAGAGCATACTCCAACTAGCCTGCCTCAGAGCCTCACTCGTGGCTCAGCTTGACTCCTGGCTTCACAGAGACCAGAGGAAATGGTCCTGTTCCCAAACACAAACTATTTCCTTCCCCCAATGACCTGCTCCGTGGGAGCCCCGCTCTCGCTTCCGGACAGTTTTAACAGCCCAGCCACCGGGAGTAGGAAGCAGAGCCTAATGGCAATTTTCATATTGGGATAGCCTTTTGGGTTAAACGTGAGGGGGAGACTGTGTGCCCTCCACTCACATACAAGTCTAGCCCATAAAGATGAAGCCAAGGGAGTTAATAAACATCACGGGCAGGCTTTATGCAGATCAGTGAGTAATGTCACTGCACTGATCTCTGCAGAAGAGATATTAAATGACTCAATTATCTGGAAAACTACACAGCGAGTCGGCTGAGCACTTTGTGACCTTGATTCCTCTTCACCCTGCTCAACAAATGCTGAGGGAGAAATAATCACAGGCACAATGGGAAAGAACGCAAAAGAATGTGAGCTAGATAAGCTAACAGGGCTGGTCCGACATCCTTCTTCACTAACCGTCTCCTTTCCTCCCGCACATGTTGGGAGGATGCATGGAGTCAAGAAAGAGTACCACACGCACACACACACACACACGCACACACACATATTTACCTCTAAGGCCAGGGCAGTCTTGTCGTAGGCATTGGGCACCCTCTTCTGTATGGCCCTGGCATAGACAGGTCCGTTCTGGAGGTTTGGGAGGGGGGTGGGTTGGGCGTACTGGCCTGGGTCTACTAGCAGTGGAGCACCGGACTGGGCTGCAGAGCCATCAGAGTTCCCTAGCATCCCCATTCCTCCCGGCGGTCCCCCAGGCACGCCGGGCCCCGCCCCCGAGTTTGGAGACGCCGGTCGGTACTTCTCCACGTAGGGCACTGGGATCATCCCCGCCCGGCCTTCCGAGTTCTGGGCATTCCACCACTGCTCCTCTGGCTTCTCAAGAACACGGAGAATATCGCCCTTCCTGAATGGGAGATCCTCCTCGTCGTTGCCGGGGAAATCAAAAAGTGCTCGGACGTACTCATCTTCCAGGCGTGGCGGGGGGGCTCCGCCGGGGCCGACGCTGATGAAGGAAGTGTGTTTGGACTTGTTGATGGGTTCTATTAGGGTGGTGGTGTCCAAGTAGTGGATTTTGTAGAACTCTAGCAAAGCAGGGAGAGCATCGAACTCCTGGTCACCAATGCGGAACCTCGGGTGGGCCAGACCTGGTGAGAACGAGGGAGGATGGAAGAGGAAGAGGCGTCAGAAAGACAAAAACAATACCATTCCCCCTTCAAAACACAACCTGGTCTACTAGCATGGTGAAGTCTGGCACATCTGATAAATCTGTCTATTTATGTAACCAAGCATGATGGCGGTGATTTCCAGAATGACCAGGAAGGATTTTTGTTTCCTTATTTTACATTTCTTTCCCCTTTCATATTTGTTTTGTTCCTTCCAATGAAAGGGTCTGTGTAGCTTTGCAAAGGCATGAGGAAATATAACACTCCTGCAGTTCCTACACAGGAAAAACCCAGCAGAGGCAGGGGACAAATTCTGGTCAAAGTCTATTAAAACCTGGCAATGAGACAGACCTCTGAACATTTACAACCCTCTCAGGCTCAGCTGGGAAATTGGGCTCATTTGAATGGTGCACCAGGCCAGAACTTACATGGACACAGTCTGCTATTTGAACTCACACCGCCCACCACGGTGCGCTTCAGTGACAGAAACGTGCTAGGATTAACAGAAACAACGTGTTGTATCATATTTAGAGAACTGTCGTCGTAAGGTGTCAAACCACGACCAGGAGTATGTTTGCCTTCAAACGAGCCAACATTCAATCGAAACACATGTCCTAATGTGCCTGGCCTGTCGTATTCTCCATACAAGAGAGTGGAAAAGGCACTATTGCGCATCTCCTTTGGTGCAAGTCATGCAAGAATGGTCACATCAGCATCTCCATACGCCGAGCCCCTCCGAACCCCTCCGTGGTCTTACCTGGACCGGATTGTCGGTTGTTGCTGATGCTGTTAATTATGTAATGCGAGACTTTGGAGTTCTCTGATACGGAGAGCACGTAGTCGCCGGGGCTGGTGATGGAGTCCCGGACCAGAAACACGCCGTGCCTCTGCCCCTGCAACAGAGACACAGCCTCCTGCCTGCTCAACCGGCCCCAGTACCAGCTACCACGGTCCTCCGCGTCAAAATTTCCGGCCATGATAACCACTCCAAAGCCGAGGCTTCACCGGGCCTTCCCTTCCCTTCCCTCCCGTTATCCACAGGCGAAGCCTTCAACTCATACAAAAACTTTAGCGCCTAGAGCACGTTTAGTAAACAGGCGACATCCGCAGCTAGCCTTTTGGACATCAATTCGCCGACATAGAACCACAAGCACGAAATAAAAAGGCCTCTTGTTCTGTTTATGAACGGGATTAAGCTCTGGGAATCATATAAGGCGTTTTAGCGACAGAATTCCAGCTACAATCCAGCGACCGATGACAACTAACTTCAAAAACTGAAATGGCGGATACGGGAAAACAAAAAAAGACCCCATTCACCGGATGTGACGTTTGACTATGTGCAGCAGCCGTACCAGTAAAGTTAGTGAGAATAGCAGTAGCAGACAACTTCCGGTTACAGCGACACTCTACAGCTAATCGTACAAGCTTATAATTATCAGGTAAAGTCTAAATATAACAACGACATTTTGTAAAACGTCTATTACAGACTCGGTGTCGTTTACCATCCAAAGCGTAGTTGTATATTTTCTTTTTCAGAAGTGACACCTTAGCAAGCTTTTATTTTGGTGATAACGTCCGTAAACTGCTGTTCCTGTTGAACTCGTCTAACTTGACGGTCCCGTCCTTCAGGCTGGTGGGCTGTTGGGAAACATAAAGCTTGCCTCGTTATTGCGCCAGATCAGCTGCAGCGCTGTAATTCAGTTGCGTACACGTTTTTCTCCCACAGACCTTTAGAAGCTCTCGTAAATGTATCTAACACATTTCACCCGCTAAATAACGGCGTGGTTCGCAATGTGTACGTCTGGCCACTAGATGTCAGCCATATCCTATAGAAATCATTATTGTCATACCTAAATGATGTGCTTCCATGCTTGCCATCAGAACATTTGCCCATACTAAATAATCTAACAATAATAAAGGATTATTTAATTGTTAGTATTCATTTTTATTCCATGTATCACTTTACAATAAAAAATGTATAAGTTGTAACCAGTGGATTTGTTAACTAATGGATTTGTTAATAGTGTATGATTTAATGCTCTATGAATCTAATAATAATAAGATTTGGGTTGCCAGGTTGTGGCTGGTGTATATACATCTCCCTCAGCACAGTTGCAATTGTCTGTTTTGGCCCATTTAATCATCATGAGCCCATCCAATAGACTCTTTGACCCCTGATCTTCTGGAAAAGAGCTGCAGAGCATCAGTATCAAATGAATTGATTGACAGCTTATTAGAAACACCTGCAGAATTCAATATTAGACTTAATAAAAACCTTTGCTAATGAATTAAAATGTATAACTACAGTCAACTTACTAACTTCTATTGTTGCATTATTAGAAACTATTGACCTGCTTACCAACATTTTTAACTGCAGACATGATAGTATATTACCATTTATTGGTGGTTTACAAACTGCGGACTGGAAGTTTTTTTAAATTAATGATTCAACAACTAGGAACACTTCTCACAACCTGGCAACACGTATGTTTTCTTATGAAAGGCTTGTAAATGATCTATGAAGTACATAATTTACTAACCAATGATAAAACCATTATTTATAACTTTGAATCATCTATAAATGGTCAGGAAGTGGTAACTCTCTCTTTCCTGTGTTGTAACACTCACACATTGTGTGGAGAAATGTTAAGAGTGCTGTCTTAAAAAAATAAACAGAAGTTTGGACATGCAGCATTACTAAATACTGAGGCCAGAAGTGTGGAATCAGTGCAGCAGTTTGAAGTGGTGCAGGTAATGTCAGAGGCATATTCCTCTACTACTTAAAAGTGGCGTACACATAAAATTCATATTGTGAGAAATATGTATGAAATACAAAATCAGATAACGACCAATGAACACATTTTCCAAAAAGGATGCATAAATTGAAATAAGAAACACATACTACTCCTTTCCAGTACGTTCAACTTGTCACAGCTACAATGCGGCTGAACGGGTGGATGCCCCTCCACTCAGAGGCCTGTATAGTCTCTGCTGGGCCCACATGCTGGATGCAGCTGGGGCCTACGATCCAAACCTTCTCACGCATCTTTTTATAATAATCAAGCACAAAAGTAAGAAAAGCCAAGACTTGTTTTTGTATCACAGAATTTATTGGGATCCATTGTGTAACAGAAAATAATACATTTTACAATTTCATGTGTAGATGAATGCACAGAGCATTCAATGAAGTGGCATGAAGATAAAAGATCCATGGGGAGAGTGACAGAAGAAGATACTGTATAGAGAATAATACAGAGGTTTACTTTATAATACATATCCAAGAAAGTTTCATGGAGAGAGAAAAAATCCAAGGCTACAGACACTCATTCCTTCAGATTCACATTACCATGTTCCTTTTTACATCTTACGATATATCAGCAGAGGCTTTAAGCGAGAGACATACACAACATCTTCTCCTCACATCCTCTGGTCACTTAAAGTATTCATAACCACTCTAGGGTCCAAGGCAAACACCAGCGTCTCACGTCTCACTGCAACATATGAAAGGACTCATTCTGCCTGTAGTGAAGAGCTGAGAGCCTTCAGTCACTGTATGAAGCGCCACTGGTGAAACTACAGAGCACTCTGGGAGAGAAAATCACCAAACAATAGGAACGTGGCTCCGATTTGAAATAGACTATTAACATAGAGGCGCAGTGAATGAAGGAAAGCTGAGCCACGTGTGAGTTTTTTTTTAGCTATATTCTCATGTGATACCAACAAACAGAGGGCATGAAGCTAGTTTGCAAAATCTTTGTATGTTTATATTCAAGCATTTTCAGAGCAATAAATTCAAAACAAATAAAAAGTTATTCTGTGTTGCAAACACACTTTATTCGTGTTAGGGCAGACAACCTTTGAAACTGTTTTTAGAAACCATGCATTCTTGTGTGAAATCAGATCGAAATGAGCCGTTGGTTCAGGTGAATGACCTCCAAAAGGCAGTCAGCTTGAGATCAAACTGCACCGAATCCCTTATATCAAAAAGTGGATGACACTGAGTGACGCATCAAAGGTTTCAAATTAAAAGCCCATATCTATGCTGATGTATGAGTCTAATTCCAGCTGTGATCTGTTTTTGCTTTGATTTGCAGTGACCTTAACATAAAAGCAGACAAAGTGCATGTCTTCAGCAGCGCATTACAAACATGCACACATAACTCTGATCTCCACCGTCTAACCCTCGCTCTCTGCTGCCGGAAGGCGTCCTGTTACAGTAGCGAGCAGAAAACCACAGAAAACCTGAGAATAGTCTTCCACAAGAGGTCTTGGTGTTGAAGTCAGTTTGACCCTGAGCACCGGGTCAACCAATGACTGCACACTGCGTCTAAAGCCAGCGATCCACACTGACCAATAGCTGATGGTATACAAACGTTCACAATCTGAACTCACTAAACAACAGTCAATATTTGACGTCCTTCCTTCCCACAATGGTTTCTGAACATCACTGTGGCTTTCAAGGACAACCTTCCTCTGTCTCATTAACCGTGAGGATGCACTCAGCTGAGCGGCCCACTTCTGTCCAGCATCACAACCCGCCTGCCTCGGTTTAAAGGGTTCATTGATTTTGCAGGGACAATGCAATATTAGCTTATAGTAAAGGTAGCTTAAAGGGAAATTTCTCTTTGTAATTAGCTTTCAGTGTAATGCTGCTGAATGCATGCAGTTAAGTCTGTGTTAATGAGGCGAGAGGGAACTGTTTTGTGTATGGAGAGCGTGCAGGTGGCATGTATGTGATTCACACGTTGTCAACCACATCTGCAAAGGTCAAAGGACGTGAGTTAGCACTGATAAACAGATGCAGAAGTAGACTTTTTTTTCTGGGCAGCAATAATTATTATGTTCATAATCATTACACCAATATGCAATGACGTATTACAAAATAGGTTTATACATTTAAAAATGGAATATATGTTAAATTGCTGAACTCTCTGTGAAGTCTCTGGATGTCTATTAGAAATGTATTGGATAACTTTTAAAGGTTTGCCTTGCCCTATCCATTGATTTCAATGATACCTTACTTGAACCAAGTTATTTACACTGATCAGGTCTTTTCAGACTTTTAATTTATTTTAGTTTCTTTAGATTAATCTTTGCTCATCAGAATGTGGTTTCAATTCAATCATTGTCCTAAAAGGGGAAATGGCTTTTCTATGATACTTTGAGGAACTAGAGCCAGTGTTTGAAAACATTGCAGTTCAACATGGCAGACTCCATGGAAGGCGACCCGCAGCCTTGTTTTAAGGTAACAAAAACATAAGGATACCTATTTTCAGGTAATTATACATACATATTATACTCCATTTCTGCTGATAGATCCTCCTAAATGTAAAAAAATCTGATCAGTATTTATAACTTGGTCCTCAGACCTCTCTTTATAAAGACAAACATGCTTTTCTGTATGAACTGTATGAACCTGATGATGAGCATCAGTCATTAAAGGCCTTCATTTTTGATGCCACACACATAAACAGCTCCAGAGATGAATGTACTGGCTCTTGGAGCAGCTGTATTGGGAAAAGTATACATGCATTTATTTATTTTTAACTGCTCCAGGATGATTTCCTTCTTTCTTTCTTCAGTTAATATTCAACAAAGTCCTCCACTCCATATCAGTAAAAGCTTTCCACCCAGTGCCTTTTCAGAACACAAATGAAGAGTCTGGTTCGCCTTTTTCACCAGCGTTTAAGCATTACTCATGTACAATATTGCTACCCCAGACCACATAAATAACATATATCCTGGAATCGAGTGGTATTCTTCTTTAAATAGCTAATCTACAATCTAAACAATCGCCCCTGCACAGATAAAAACAATATATACTGTATATACCGTACATCCAAAAATACAGCTTGTTTTTTTAAAGCTTTGCATGGACTATAAGTGACATGAATGGAAAGCATGGGCCGGTGAGAGCTACATACTGCATAAGGATATATAATCTGTTGTAACCCAGCGGACAGCGTACGTGAACGTGATCATAGCTGCGGCCTATATATAAACACAGCACTGTAAGCATGTGACACACACTAGTGTACAGTACTGTGGAGAGAAACATGACCTGGATTATGAGAGAAAGGCTACTAAATATTTCAGCTTGATACCCCAGCACTTTGCTATGGGACACATGGCAACATGATTATCACATTTATCTACTGTACAGCCAAGACCTTGTCCTTCCAAAACAGGACACGTTTTACTGTTTCCTTTCAGTCATCAGGCCTGTACTGAGTCCTTTTCTAAATCATCTTTATGTTTTGGTTTGAGCTGACTAATTTCATCTTCAGCGCACTTCTCTTCCACTAAAGCACTGTGCATCTGTTCATTTCCCAACAGGCGACTGATCTCAAAGCTGTTGGCTTGACTTCTGATTCCTGCCTATCTTCTGATCCATCTGGCTAGCCGTCTATGTATGTGGGAGGGAAACATTTTATATATTTCCATCTCAGGTTTTTGGCGAAAACATTTCTCAAAAAGGTTTAAGGGCCCCGACTAGTCTGTGTGTCTCTCTTGTTTTATGTTCTCTAGGTCTCTTTTTATCTCACACTCTGGGACCAGTAATAGGACGTGTCACAGGCACATGTAGGTATTAGCAGGGTAACCAGGAGGAAAGGACCTGAATAAAGGTTAACATTCTATACATAAAAGCCTCACGTGATATAATGAATCTGTCTATTCTACGCATTAGCATCCTTAGTCTATTCGTACTTTACACAACAGACAGTTATGATAAAACAGACGTCCTGTTGGGGATTGTCTTCTCATGTTACATTTACCAGGAGTCACTGGGGTTCAGCTGTGACTCCGCCAGTATCTGAGCGCTGCGGCGGCTGGTCACAAATCAGATCAGTGGAGGGAGTATCGAGTGGCGTGTTCATATGGATTACATCCTTCCAGCGCCGCAGCCTGTTTGACTTTGAGCGTGCTCAGCTAGCCTCCGCAGGACACAAAGTCTTCTCTCACCTCCTTCCACACAGGACTCGACACAGGAGGGGAAACATAAGCAGAGCGGAGCAGGGAGCGGCAATCAGGTCAAGTGGTCTGATTGGTCGGTCACCTCGTCTAAGTCGTCCTCCTCTGCTCTCATTGGCTCAACGGCTCCAAAGGAGAGCTGCGACTGGCTGGAGCAGGAGAGACGGGAGGAGTGGCTCTGTGTGTCGTCCTCGTCCTCCACCACCACTGCCGCTCTCCTCCCCGGGTGCTGCTCTCTCCTCTGCGTCTCCTTCTCTCTCCCCTCGTCCTCCTGCTCACCTCTCCTCCCCCTCCCCCTGCCCACGACCTTCCTCTGCTCCTCCAGCGTCCACATGCTCTCCTCCTCATCCTCCTTCCCCTGCACCTCCCTGTCGAAGTCCAGCAGCTCCTCCATCATCTCCTCTATCTCCATCTCCCCGTCCAGCTCCTCCTCCACCTCCGACCGGAGCTCGCCCATGCTCTCAGTCCGGTTGGTGTCGTCCGTCTCCTCCTCTTCCCCAAGCCCCCTCAGCCTCTCTGGGGGGTCGCTGGCCTGGCTCTCTCCAAACTCCAGGATGGTGGGCAGGTTTCCCTGCTTGGGACAGCGCTTTCTCAGGCTGACCAGGAAGGGCTGCGGCAGGGAGAAGATGTCCACATTGTTGCCCAGGTCGATCCATGTCACGCTGGGGAAGCTGCCTGGATCCTAGGGTCGAAAAAAATCAACATTGTATTATTAAAATAATAATTAAAATTAAGAATTTTAATTATTTATTGAAAACATCATCAAGTAAATTATTGCTGTCAGGACGACGGTTCACGTCTTCCAGCCTTTACGCAGACTTGTTGAACAAGAGGTTCCTTCAGTTATGATAAATGGAGCTAAAATCTTCTGTGTTTCTGCCAACAGCTGAATGTTTGAGCCATTTGTTCTAATGGCTGCCAGATGCTGCTTTTAAGACAGCTCAGACTATTAAAATAACGAGAAAATCCACAACTTCAAGTCAGCGTGACCTCTGGGAGTAGTGCATCAAACCACAATGTCCCCAGTTCAAGTCTCCTGCCTTCTCTCTGCTCTCAAGTCTTTCATAAAATACTTAAAGATCCCATCTAGACATATGTTACGACATATACAAATAGTCTGATTTTTCTGCAAAAAAGAAAAATGGTGTAATTTCCACATTAAAATACTTAAAAAGTCATCTCCTCCTTCTACCTAATTAAAACTTCCACAATCTCTGAATATTCAGATGTTGTTCATTTCTAAAGTTTTGCTGCTGGACACAAGATGTCTCCTACTTCACTGTAAAGTCCATTCTCAGTGGATGTGCACTGGTGGATCACACTTGTATAAGTTGCATACTGCACCAGGAAAAAATATGGCTAGCATTGTTGCCTGCTACAATGCCATTCTTGTTTACCACCAGTCGGTTCCAAATACAGAAACGTTTTTAAAATTGAGCACTTTTAGGGCGTTTCCACCTTCCTAGGGAACCAAGGAAAAAATGTAAGAAACTTTAATTGCTTTTGACCAAATGGACCAGCAACTAAATTCAGTTCCTCTAACAGGAATTAAACTAGCAGGATCTGTAGTTCCAAAACATCCATGCTCTCACTGTACTCTCTACCTTACACCCATCCATTCATGGAGTCACACAGCAGTAAATATAAAGATCACGACACGTGTTGCTTGTTTCCTTGAGTGCGAAAATGTTGTCTTATTTTTAATCAGACTAATGACTGAAGTGCGTAATTTTCCTGGTTCTTCAGGTGTGGCAAATACTTTTTAGTTGCTACATTAGTTCCTGAGTTTAGTTCCTGTGGCTTCTTAGTAGCTCAGAATTATTTAGTGGAAAAGGGATACCATTGACTATGTATGACGTTTTTCTACTATAAAAATATTGATCGATAAAGACACTCAGGCTTAAAGAGAAGTATATTTGGGATCAGAGTGTGGGTCCAACCTCAGCTCTACCTGGGGGTTTTCTGTGTAATTTTGTGACCACCAACATCTGTGTAGTTTATGCCAAAGACACACTGTGGACTGAGTCAAATACTGATAGAAAATAATGGTTGTCCTTCAGTAAGGATGAGGGAGACAACATTCTCTGCAACAGAAAGCAAGGGATCTCATTTACAGGAATGATACTAACAGTAATACTATACTATATTGTCATTATATTTGACAAATATATGAAGATATTCTAAAAGATATGGGATTTTCTGACCTTCAGGGCATCAGTCAACTCCTTCAGAACAGTTCTGGTCAGCCTGTTTCCATTCAGTGCCAGGGTCTCTAGGTGCGGCAGGGAGGCCAGCGTAGGCAGCAGCAGGAAGAACGCCTCGTCCGTCAGCTCGGTGAAGCCCAGCTCCAAGCTGACCACAGTGCACGCGTGGCGCTGTAGGTGTGCACACACCCGCTCCATGTCCCGAGCCGTCAGAGGGATACCGGACAGATCCAACGCCCCGCTGGACAGAGGGGCCGACAGCACCGCCTTCAAACTGGAGATGGACACATGAGCAAATGTTAGAACCTAAACGCTTTTTAGGGCCAATATAGACCCAATATTTTATTTATGTAATTATGCATCTGATTTTTTATTTTTTTTTGCACTGTTCATCTATTTATCCATAAATGCCAAGGGCATCTTACATTTTCATAATATTGCAATATTGTACTGCACTCTCAAGATGTACATAATAATTATATCACACATTTTGCAACATTATACCTCCACTAATCACATAAAACCTGCAACTTCACACTTCAAAGTGACAGCATGGTAATGTTTCTCTTTCCATGTTTGCATCCTGGTGGCTGTAATTTATTCACTGTGCAGAACCCACAACACTACGCACTGCTCTATAGGTTGCTGAGCCGACTGTAGCAGACTTCACTGATTCTTCTGAAACAAACTGCAACACTCAAAACAAAACTTTGATCAACTTAGGTAACACTTTATTTGGATAGATATACAGATAGTTTAGAGAGTATTTGTAACATTTCAACAGCTTATTAGTTGAGATTCAACAACCATTTCCTGATATTACACCACTATGGTTAATGTTCATGAATGATCATATACTCTACAGATAATCTGTTAAACATACACAGGAAAAGCAAAACAGTTCCAAATACTCAAGTTTATTATCATCAGGATATTTAATTATTTAATTTAATCCTTGATATTCTGTTCAAATATGAAGACACTGAGGTGAATTGAATGGGAGGAATAGTTGGACATTTTATGAAACAGAGGCTGAGACAAGATCTATATCTGTAACAAAGCTGGAGTCAGCAGCTGGTTACCTTAGCTTAGCACAAACACTGGCTCTGTCTGCAGGTAAAAACAAAAATTCAGCTACGAGCTCCTCTAAACTCTCTAATAAACGTGTGTGATATTGATCTTCTCATCCATCTCTCGGCAAGAAAGTGAACAGGTGTATTTCCCAAAATGTGGAAACTTCAAAGGCAATCTGTCCATTAAAGCCCTGTGGTGAACCCTACTGTGGAGATGGAGACTAAACACAAAGAGAAAAAGTCCTCTGCATAAGGTAATGTGCGCAGAAAGTATGCACTGTACCTTGGCAGGTAATGGAAACTACATAAACAGCACACTTGAGAACCACAAACACTGCAGCTGGATCACGCTCTGGAGACACACACACAAAGACAGAGAGACACTAAGGGGATTTAGGGCTTAAGAAACTGAAGTTTGGAGAATGAAAAATGGCTGGTTGAGCAGCAAAACACTTAAAGCTATACTCTCCAACCACATGGTCTGAGCTAAAAATAAACTCAGTGGGGCGTCTGGATTTGGCAGAGAATTACGCGAGCCGAGCACGAGGGGCTGATCTGGGGTCTGGTCCACAAACAAAGAAAAACTGAGATCGGGAATTTAATTTTTACAGCTTACAAATGAAAACAATTCTTGTAATACTCACTGGACTTTGTCGATTATCACCCACAAATAACACACTTGCAGAGGTTTGGGAACACACACACACACACACACACACACACACACACACACACACACACACACACACACACACACACAAAGTATACCTCATTTGGGATTAACCCACTGGCAGTCAATCTGTTCCTAAAGCTGGTTAGAGGTTCACTGAGAAAGGGTGACTGTGGTAGAGACTGTGGGATCCAACTATCATCCGCAGTTAACAGCTGAATATATTTATCTATTCACATACCAGAGAGACTTCAGAGGAATCTAGGCCAGAGCAGCCCAAAGCAAAGCAGCGAACAAACGTAGGTCAAATTTAGCCTTCCAAAAATGTTCTCCCAAGGGTTACAAGGAGCGATCTATCACTGCGTTATATTTTTGGTTTGATCTTTGAGGCAAAACATGCAACTGGCTGTCAATCTACCAACACCATTTGGGATTGGGGGGTTGAAATAGCTAGTAATTGTACGAGTGTTTCCTACACTTGAAAAAAAAACAACATTCTGCTCCTTTCTTTTTCTAAATTAAAGACTTATTATCTCATAATTATGAAATGATTTTTCACTATTGATGACTGTTTTTCTGAATTAACGAGATACCACAAGCACGCTCTCCATGCCCAGGGCCGGCTCTCAGACCCCTTGAGCCTAACCCAGCTTATGCAGTGCTCTGTGTCACCTTCAACCTTAATTAATTCAGAAAAACACACACACACACACACACACACACACACACACATATATATATATATATATATATATATATATATATATATATATATATATTTTTTTTTAATGAAAAACAATCTCTAACCAATAATATAATTATAAGATAATAAGTCATTAATTCAGAAAAACAGAATTTTTGTTTTCGATTGAATGCTTCTATAAAATTGTATCGATTTTTAGCCACACCCGTAGTACGGCACCAGGGATGACAATGTTGTCTGATCGGCCAACCACAAAGCACTGAGACACAGCCTGGGTTTACAATGCGATACTCTACTTACTCCATCAGTTTGTTCTGGTGCAATCTGCACACGTTAGGACAGCCACACCAAAATCAGGCTTCCTCATTACTGCATAACAAAGACATTAGAAATTAGAGACTGGCAGTTTATTCTTCAGCACTGTGCAGATACATTTTTTCAGCCTCTAGCCTTCACGTGACAGTTCAAATCTGGATAGCTCATCCGTTCTCTTTTCACATGACTTATGTGTTCTGTTCTGTTATAGACCTTCTTGTCTGTAATGGGGTCTGAACAAGTCTCTTGTGAACCACACAGTCAGGGATCTCAGGGGACGTCACCATGTCACTGCAGTTTATTTTGCAGTTACACATCTCCAGCTCAGAGAGAGCTTCATAATCAGAGCAGGAACTGTATTAAAAGACATCTAAAAATTAGTGAAATGAATACCTCAAATGATCCCAAGCAGCTGCAATATATAATGTTTATGCTCCAGTGGTTACATATTTTATTTTTGTTGCTATTATTAAACAAAAGTGGCCAATAAAAAGCAGTACCAAGGTTTCCACAGAACTGAATCTAATTAGGTTGGCTTGTTCCACTGCAGTCCCTCCCCTCTGAATCATTGTCACTACCACTACTTTAACACATTCCCTGTGGGAAATCTGGATATGTAAGCGCCGGCAACAGCTGTTCTCTGTAACATCATTCTGTGCTCACAATTTGAAAATTAGCATTACATGCACCAAAACACAGTAAATAACCACATATAGTACAATGTTTATCCTGCATTCATTGATGCTTTGAGCACTTGAGGGAAGGAGAGCGAACCGTGACGTGTATCACCTTATAAAGTTGATACAGAGTCATGTTTCTGTCCACCTGATGAATGTAAGTCCAATGTTCGCTCTTGTTTTAGCTCTGCTTCTCTTAATCTGCTTAATGCCACACGTTCACCAGCTAGTCGCTGACTCTCTCTGTCTGGTCAGGTAGCGTGCAGTGGGTTTAAGAGAACACTGAGGGGAAATAATTATATAATTATCAGTGGGTTAGTTACTGCAACTGACCCCTTTCATATTACAAATAGTAATTTGATCCATTGTTAATTAATATTTATTACAGCAGTTTTTAAAAAGGACAGGAAAAGTTTGCTGATATATTTATCTTACTGTCAACAAATCCGATAAAAAAACAAAAACCAGCAATGAACTGATCCAATGACACACATTATGTGTGTAGCTAAAGCCTGATGTAGCTATTATAACACCTTGTGGTTGACTGTAGTTTATTTCAAGTCAATACACCATCCTGGTGTTCTACATACTCAGTGCACCAAATGTGTATTAATCTGCACCTGAAACTAGTCCCAAACAACAACAACCATATTGAAAGTGCATACTATAAATATATAATGAAACTATTTATCTGTGATGTCTTAAACAATTTACCAATGGGCTTGAAACCTGACTGCGCCAAGTGGTTTGTTGCACAGAACCATCTATTATTGTTGGTAACGGTTAGAAAAAGGGCAGGTACTTTTTTCCATCAAGGAAAACCTTCAGTGCTGTTCTTTGCTATTCTTTCAGTATATATGGAGGGTTGCAGGTGGAGAGATCCGCTTTTTGAGGGTTGACATGAAAGTAAAGTTTTTGACTACCAGTTTTATACGTACATTTTGTATTTTTACACTAAAAACTTTGCAACAAGTCACTTCTTGCAAGTAAATGCAAATTAACTAAAAAAAAACACACCTTGAGGCTGAGGCTGGGTAAGTGGTCTACAACCACTTCCCACAGAGGCCCTGGAGGTTTGTGCACCAACCCAACTCCACACAGCAGCCCATTTCCTCCTCACTGAGTGAAAGTGTGGTAATTAGTTAACACAGCTGGCGCTGCAATGCCCTCGTCCCTCCATTACACGTGGTCTGAGATCACTGATCTAATCGTTTCAGCTCATATTCTCCTCCCATGCTCCCGTTCTCCACCTGCAGATCTGTGTCTGATGTGTTATAAGCATGGGGAAATGTTTCTGGTTTTCTGGACTTCTGTTCCAGGCTTCACTCCTTCCCCCTCTCTTTACCCAGACAGACAATCTACCACTCCTCTACAACAGCACCCCGCCCTCCTCAGTTTAAAGCAATAAACAAAATAGGCAAGAGTAATATCGTGCAAATAAAAAGCAGATGAGACGCTGAGAGAGCTCATGATGTATTTGGCTTCAGACCAGAATCCCACGCTACAGAGAGAGAGACACACCCCCGCTCCCTCTGAACTGAGATCACCCGCCCCCGTCTGGACAACAACCAGCGGGATGGTGGGACGGAGGGCTGAGTGTGTCATCCGAGACATACACAGATATAAACGGACCTCTTACACTCATATTGTTGCTGACAATAACCAGAGGTTTAACAGTCAGTTACTGTTGCTATGCCTGTCAGGCTGTCTATTCTAGTGCAGCACATTTATAACACAGAGTTTACTGATAACAGTGGAAGATTTAAAACTCAAAGTCATTTCTGAAACAACCTTCCTGTGTCCTTGATTTCAGACAGAGGCAGACTAAAGCAGCAG